CTGCCAACAATTGTGTCTCCGTTATGGGGTGTGGCCTGAAGCCCCTAAACTTTAGGAAAAGAAGCAACCAAGAGCAAAGAGACAGGGAGAGCAAATTCTAACATCCCCAAGTGTTTTCACGTAGAGGCCGACCTGCTGGAGCATGGGTCAGTCTCACAGGAACAAGATGGAATGAGCAGAGAGAAGGTTTTTGAGGTACAGTGGGAAAAACAGAAAACTTCAGAATGCCTCCCCACCCCTTCCTAAGGAACACTTTTGGGTTTTGTAGGAAATAAGAACATTTTTCATGAGGCATATTGCCTTGTGTGTGTGTGTGTGTGTGTGTGTGTGTGTGTGTGTGTGCAGTGTCTTCCTCCCTCTCTTCTTTGTTTTTCTAATGATGAACAGAATTGAAGAAAAAGTGTCTACTATCCAGTACTCTCCTCCCCAAGTTTAGCATTATAGGGGCATAAGGCACTGCCTGCTCAGAGGCATGTTAGATGATTTCATTTAAATAAAAGATCTATTCTGCACAATGACTTTCCAACTTCTGCGGGGGAGTCATTGTCGTCCACCGCCTGTGACTCCTTCTCACCCATATACTGCAGTGGGCCATGAGGAGGCGGTTGCTATCTTCAGGTGGCTTTACCATTGATACAGAAGAGGGCTGGGGCTGCTTCTGAGGGGTCCCATGGGTGTTGGATGCTTGTTTTGACCAGGCCACAGCAAAGCACAGTGAAGGACAGTGACAGACCCGATAGCAGGGTCACAGCAGGGCTTGGAGATGGCCCTTGGCCAGGCGGCTGCCCACAGCTCTTCCCCTACTGGGCATGTCAGAAAAAACGAGGCTGTGCTGGGAAGTGAACCAAGGCCACAAGCAAGCCTGCTTGTCTCCACCTGGACAACACTTCTGCTCCCTGAAGTTGGGGACATAATGAACAGGAAGCCTCAGAAGGAGTAGACATTGATCATGGTGGATGAGAAAACCAGGGTGATAGGACATCACGTGACTGATTTCGTGTGTTCCCTGAGTTCCCTGTTCCTCCTCCCCTCAGCATGTCCCGTCCTGGGGGGATGGGAGAGAAGATGGGTATTTTAGAATCTGTTTGTTACTGTGCTGTGATGGTCCTAGCATAGACCTTGATTATCATAATTCCCCTCTGTTCTCAAGTTTCTCTCAGAGAACCCCGGAAAACTTAGATGGGTAACTTCTTAAAGTTCAACTTCATTCTAACCCAAAAACTTCGAATTCAGTTCATTCAGTATATGGTAAGTTATCTGAAAATTTATACTTTGAAATGTAATGAGCTGAATAATCAATCATGCAAGCCAGATTTTCTATTGCCCATTTTTATTTTAATAATCTAACAAGGTTATTTCCTATATGTATTATGTATCTTGGTGAATTGATGAGGGAATGGCAGGAAACGATTTTATGTGAGGCTTCACAATTTCAAGTGTTATTCTGAAAGCGCTCTGGGTGTGCAGAGCGCCCCCTAGGGTCCATGTAAGTAATGGCACCTGCTTTAGATATTTGGGCTCCGAGATTCCGGGATACCCGGCTCGCGCTCTCCGGTACAAGAAAAGCCAAGACGTCTGTCTTTCATGCCTACAGTTGCACAAGAAAAAATTCTCCCTTTATTTTCATTATAGGCGCCTAAGAAACCTTTGTCACGAGGGGAAAAGAATCAGACCTCCATGATTGCACAGGATGTCAAGAAATACGGTCAGATTTTGGATGTGATAATAGATAACCCACCTAGGCTTCTCTTAAAAGCCATGTTCTTCTGATTCTCACCTAGAGCAGCGCCTGGAAGCGGATGGATAAGAAACACTCTGACATCTGGGCCTGAGGGGCCTGGGGCGCGCCGCTGCGCTTGCCCCGGCCTCTGAGGTTCCATCTGAGTAACGGGAGGGAATCCCGGCTCGCCCACCAGCGGTCTGACTGCTTCTCTCAAACCGTTAGAAGTAATAAGGCGCCTATGGGACGGGTCGCCGCAGGGCCTGACCTGGATGGGGTGGCACTCTTTGGCTGCGCCTGGCCCGGGCGGACGCTCGCGAGGGCGGGCGAGGTGCCAGCACGCCCGCGGCTCCGGGCGTTGGAGGGCTGGGGGCCTCCGGGCAGCCGCGGAGCGAGCCTATCAGTTTGAGGGCAGCCTGTGGTCACGAGACTCGAGCATTAAGAACAAGCCACAGGCCACCAGCGCAACGGCACCGAACAGCATTTAACTACACACCGCGCCCCCCTGCGGAAGGGCGAGGCCCCAACGCGCCGCTCCCGGCCCGCACGGAGTCAGGCCCCTGCACGCCCGCGACTGGGGCGCGGCGGCCCCGGGGACCTGGGAGCCTGCGCTGCAGGCGGTCTCCTCCCCAAGTTTAGCATTATAGGGGCGTAAGGCACTGCCTGCTCAGAGGCATGTTAGATGGTTTCATTTAAAATAAAAGATCTGTAAACTCTGTTTACTAACCAAACCCCAAATACATTCCTCTTTTGGGGAAGCGGTAGGCAACCCGTGCTTTGGCACCTAGCTTCCTTTCCCCCCCCACCCCCATCTCCATCTCCCCAGGGCCCCCTCCCAATCACACCCGCATCTTTTTTGACGCCGCGGAACCACTGGGGGTGAGCGAAGCTGCGAAACCGGACGCGGTGGTTGCGACGCGGGGGGCGGGCCGAGGACCAAGGCCTGACCCGTTCTCCCCACTCGCCTCGCCTCCGCGGAGCTCACCCCGCGGTACCCTGGCTCGAGCGCGCCCTCTGCGGGCCGCCGACGGGATCGGCCCTCCGGGGCGGCTGTCCGGAATCCAGCCTGCGGGCGCCCTGCCAAGGTCCCTGTGGGGGCCGGTCACGCGCTCTGCCAGTCTCTGAGCAGCCGGGGCCTCGTTTCCAGGTTTTGTGTGTCTATGGGGGCGCTTTTATCACCCCCACCGCCGACGCGGCTCTTTTTTTATTTTTTGGGAAAGGAGCAAACATCTCCAGTTTTAATGTGGCCCAATTATCTCGTTTGCCCGACTTAAAATGTTTCTCTTTAACTCATTTCAATCTAGTAAATATGCTTCAGCAAGTAGCTAATTTCTCAGGGATGGCTTTGCTTCGCCATTTGCATATAAAGCGCGTCGGGGGACCGGCCCCATCTCCCGGTGCGCGGGTCACAGGCAGCTGGGCCTCCACTTCCACGGGGACACCTGGGTTTGGTCTACGATTGGCAGGGTTGGTGAGGCACCTAGGCCCGGGGGTGGGACGGGCCCCTCCTCTGAGCTCCCCCGTCCGCGGCACCCGCCTCTGCCCCCCCGCGCTCCTATCCCGGGGAGGGGGCGCTCCCTGGGCGCCACATGGGCGCGAGGGTCCGGGGCTCATTTTTCCCCAAGTGCGTTCATTAAATCGCGTCTGGAGATACATGGACGTGAACACAGAAGAGGACATAGCAGCGCTCAGTCGAGCAATCTTCTGGCTTTAAATTCCGAATAAAAGTCTCAAATATTCCCGGGTCAGGGGGGCACCGTCTCATTAAAACCACTCTCGTCCTGAAACTGCAATGCAGACATTAAAGTGCAGTATTTTTCAATTAGAGCTGACGAATTCAATCAAAATTCCATAGATTAGGATGAAATGAGGCATGGGTCATTTACAGGGGAATTTAATTGCCGAGCCATTAGACAAATAGTATATTTGCCATTCCCGCGTTATCCATCATTTTCGACATCAATACCGGGGCCGCATCTCCCCGTCCCGCGGCCGCTCGGCGTCGGCTGTAAACACTCCCTTCCCTGTATCTTCTGATTATATGTGATTTCATTTAGGGCCATGGGGGATTATAAATGTTCACGCAATCAAATTCATTAGGACTTCCAATCGCATTTCTGATTGGGACCCGCTCTGCCGCTGTCCTCGCGGCGCCTTGCAAGCCCCAGGACGAGGCTTTCAAAAACACGTTTTTGATTTTAAAGCTTCACAACCTTTTGTCTTCCGACGCCCCGCACCCCCTCTCCAGGCGGCCCCGCGCTCCCCGGGGTTCCTTTGCGGGAGCACCCCGATGCCACTGCCCTGACAGCGGGGCTGGGCCTCCGCTCCCCATGCCCGCCCTGCGCAAGCTGGCCCCTCACCCAGGTGGACCGAGCACCGGCCTCCCGCTGGGACGACGACCCCCCTGCGCTGTCGCGGGGCGCTCAGGACCCGGAGGACCGGACCGGGCGCGCGGCACGAGTCCCGCGGGTTCGCGGATCGCGGGTGGGGGCAGCCCCACGTCTCCCCCCACCCGACCCGACCCGCGGGGAGCGAGGGGAGCACACTTGGCGTCCTGGAGTCCTGCTGCCGCAGGCAGGCCTTGGGCAGCGGTCGGGCCCGACCTTGGGGACTGGCAGCCAGGACCACTTTCCTGGCTGGCCCCTTTCACTCCAGGAACCCGGGTGGGGGCGGTACCCAGCGGAGCAATGGTCTCTATTAGCCCCAAGAAACAAAGCAGCCGACTCTTGCCGGGAGAGCTCAAAGGCTCAAGATATCCCTTCCAGCCCAGCTGAAAAATAATAGCTTAATATTAACTGCTTCTCATAAAAATACACTTTCACAGAGGTACAGTTACAAGAAGAAACCCTCATTTTACCCCCATACTTTGTGCCCATCACTGTTAGCTGCCTCAGTAATTTAATTGGAATGAAACGTGAGAAATGTGTCATTTCTGAAGAATTTATGCATCACTTCCTAGAAATCTCATTGTGTTAACTAGGAGCCTACTGTGTTCTGTTTAGAACCCATAATCACATTTTTATGTGTCTGTATCCCGAGTTAATGTGACCCCCTGTCTTTAGTAGATTTAAAGAAATGTTCTTATTCCGTAATATCTGCATCAGACTCCAGTTTGCATCAAGAACATGGAAACCCTGTTTCCCCAATGTTTCCCAAACTTTCCAACTTTCTTCAGAGCAGGGCAAAGAAATGTGAATGGAAAAAGTGCCTACGAAATGAATAATTACACACCGAATTAAAACCCTGCATTAAACATAGTAGTCGACAGCAAATACGGCATTCTCAATCATGTTTATTGCTTACAAATTGCATTACAAAGAAATCTACTCTTTTTATTGGAGTGATTAAGCAGAATGTTAGGACTGCAGAAATACCATTCTGGAAGATTAGATGAAGGCTGGAAACCCGGCTAGTTACTTTGCAATGGTGAATGTATAATTTTGTTAAAGAACACGCTTAACACACAAATGAGGATTGGGCTGTCATTATGGCATCATAAAAGAGTCAACTTAAAATTATATTTATTTATAAACACATTTCCTATAAAGCACACATATTTAATACAAAGGAAGTAGACAATTCCATAATCAATATTTTAATTACTGATTTTTAAATTATAGCAGCACAATTCTATACGATGCATCACTATTCTATAGTTCTTCTATAGTTTCCTTTATCATGTGAGCTAAAATCTTGTTTTCTCTTTGTGGGAAGCACGGCTCAGCAGACGAGGGTAAGATCGCTTGCTTATGGCGCCACCTGCAGGACTCTATGAAAATGATTTTCAATACTTCAATCCTCCACTAGGCTCTAGAAATTTAACCTCAGGCTTATTTTAGCAATTTAATAACCCTCATTTTTATTTTAAAATAGAAAGATTTTGACAATTTCAAGACACACCCGGGAGTTTGAAAAGTATACTAAAGTCCAAAAATAAGAAACAGTATTGATAATAGTTGAATCTTTAGGGCTTCTGAATATCTCAAGTGCACATAGAAAATTTGACTAAGGAATAATTTATTTCTGAAATAATGGAATAAACGATGCAATATTCCTGCTTTATCACTTGGTCTTTGGGCAGCCCTTAAGAGATGAAAAGCACTTGGAAAGCTAATATCAACCACAATTGCAGTGATTAAACTCCATCATAGCCGCCCCACATCAGGACCGGTCACTGGAGCAGACCAGCTCATTCTCCAAGCCTGTATTTTACACAATTTTTGTAGAGGGTTAAGTGTTCTTTGAAAAAGTTCAACAGCCTTCCCCGTCAACGTGTGTTTAAAGGGTTATTCTGGAGATTGGAAATGTAATGATTATCTACAGTTACTGGGATTAGCAAACTGCTTGTTCAAGAGTCTGCGGTTTTGATTTTCTTCAAAACATGCTGAATTAATGGTTATCATGCAACTTAAAAGTTAAATGTACACAAATATGCTAAAAAGAGAGGCTCAATGCTGTGTTCAGAATTTTAAACATAATAAAGTCATATGGTCCCATGTCCACGTACTGAGCGCCCGAGGACTGTGGGTCCTGTCTGGCCATCCTGCTGTGCTGTGGACATTCCTTCATGTCCAGGGTACAGTCAGGGTGGAAGGAGGAGAACTGTCTCAGGCCCGTTGTGGGTGGAAAACCTCCCTTGTATATTTTTGAAAAATTTTTGGTTAGATGACAAGTGGTATAGTCAAAGATAGTCAAGAAAAATTGGAGGGAAAATATTCCTATTTTTTTTTTTAGTAGAAACAGCATTTTACTCTTTTGATGCCTTCTGAATTTTCAACTATGTGAATGCATCATTAAAAATTGAATTTGAAATTAAAGAAAACAATTTAGTTTTATAGAACGGGGTTTATGTAATCATTTAAAGAGAAAAGGATTGATGGTCTAATATCAACCATACAAGAACGGAAAACATTTTTTAGACCATTTGATAAAAGAAATAACCAGAATATATTTTATTCACTGGAAAAGAAGTCAACCAGGAAACTTCTAGCTTCAAAGCAGAGTGTCTTCTTGGATATTTATCTCGGCTAACTCACTTCTCTGCCTCTCCCCCTCCTTCCTTCCCTTCCCCACTCACCTCTCCTCTCTTCTCCTTATCCTCCTTCTCATTCTTATCTATGTGGAATTATGCAAGTTCCCTTAATTTCAGAACTTTCTGATACATGTAGCATAGAGCATAGCTAGACACAGTCATCAAAACAACAAATTTTCTGATGCTATTTTTTGGTTAATAAAGCAAATTGCTAGCTGTAATTACATTCTGAAAAGCTATGAATGACCTCCATCTCATTTGATCGTTAGGAGAGCCCACACACCACCACCAAGCAGTTTTGCTGCTCACGGACATGACCATACTTCAGCAACATTATTCAGCACCAGTGGACAGCCACTAGAGCCCAGGTAATTCACAACTAATTTCTAGTGCCAGTTTATCTGCTGCTTATTCTCGTGCAGCTGCAATGTCATGGGGGCAGGGTAAAGACTCCTTCCATCTTAGGGGGTTCAGTTCATTACCATGTACTGACCCAGAGTGAGGGACTGGTGGTGTCGGTATTGGTTGGTGGGGTGGGGCGGGGTGCTTGTCATGGATGTCACGTGACTGTGTGTAAGGCACAGCGGTGAGAGTGATGGACAAGGAGGCCATAAAGTGCCCAGACTGCTGTCTGCCCCGGGAGTCGGCAGCCCTCATTTGACACAGATGCGAAACCAGACAGAGGGTGGCTGAGAATGGAGCCCCTCCTCTCCCCTCTTCCCCCAGCGTGCCCAGGCCTGTCCAGCAGCCTTGCTGACAAGGTGGCCTTCTTCTGGCTGTGAGCTTCCGGGCACCCTACCTTGCTGGTGACCAGTCCTCAGCCCGAAGCACTGGCCCTGCCCCCAGCAGGCTCAGTCAGGATTGGATAAAAGGGAAACAATGATGGACCTGATGAGGAATGATTTAACCCTAAGGAACTTCAAGGGATCAGCTCTTCCTGGGAGCTGACTTTTAACAAAATCTGATTTTTAGCAGATTCGAATTTTAACCGAAGATTTCTGGGGGTGAAAATAATGCAAAAGAAAGAATTCCTCCACAATGGTGGCATTTCAGGCAACAATGGGGAGATGTCTGGAGCTCAATGTGAGAATCCTGTTGTCTTTTTTAAGCTATAATTTGGGGGAAAACACGTGTTGGGAAACCTAGAAATTGGTCAACATTCGTCAGAATTTTAGAAATAGAAGGTCAATATGTTTTAAGAGTTCTGCTTTGTTTCAGTACCTCAAAACATACTTAAAATTTAATACATTTCAGAAACACAACGAAACTGTTTTCTAAGTGGGGTTGGCAGGGAGAGAGGCGGCTGTAGGACGCCGCCTGTAAAGCCGGCATCTTCGCTCAGATTCTAATTTGCAAAGTGCAGTGAGGACAGGGGGCCCCCAGTGGCTGCACTTCTTGCTGTTCTCGCCCCTTTTACTTGTTCTTATATGTGACGTGACTTTGCTTTTCTACTTTCTACAGACTTTATCCCAATGTTAGGCTCTCTTCTAATAATAATAATAAAACAATCATAATAGAAGGAACATTTATTCTCTGGGCCTGGGGCTCTGCAGTCTCTGTTCTTAGTGGGACAAAATATAAGCCTGTTAGAAACATTCAAGTTCACAGACCCGCAGGAACAGGGCCTCCCTGCAGACCTCCAAGGTCAGAATCTGCATTTCAAGGTCCCTTTAGCATTGCAAACGCCTTACCTTAAGTTCATTAATTTGCTGACTCCCAACCCTGTGACAGGTGCAGATACATTCATATTCCCACAGAGCAAATTTTGGTTAAGTTCTTGCTCAGTGGAACAGCCGGGGTCTGAAGCCCTGTCTCTGGGGTGCTCCCAGAGGCTCCCACTTGTCCTGCAGTGTCCTGTGTCCCTTTCCAGGACAAAGCAATCTCCCTGGAGCCCCACTGTGACTATAGCAGCTCAGCTGCCCTGAGGCTCCTCATAGCTTGTCCAGTGAGGTTCAGAATTTTTGGTCCAGAAGCCAAGGCCCTTCTGATATGCTCCCCACCCCTCCACCCCTGCCTCCTTCCTCTTGCCAAAGCAACTGGACTGTCCCCTCCAGGAGGACAAATCTCCGTTCCTCTCAGGTGCCCTGAACTTTCCTGCATTACTACCTCCATTCAAGTTTCCCTTTTGATATAGTGAGGACTTCCGGATGTCTCCTGAGGGACTGGGGAGAGCCATCTGCCTGGGCTGTGGGTGCGAGGGTCTTGAGGCCATGTTTTTATAGCCTTTTTCTAGGTCAGGTGAGTTGTCTAGGAAAGGGTGGGATGTGGGAGGGTCATCTGCAGGTGCTGGGGTGCTGTGCTATCACTGCTCTGGCAGAACCCTGGTGTGGGAATCTGATCAGCCTGGCTGCCCCTTCATGATGCCCCTCTCACGGGGTGGGCCCTGCCTGGCCCCGTTTCACCTCCACAGTGGGGTTCCTCACTGGTGCACACAACGTCCTACCTTGCACTCTAGTTGTTTTCTGGGACGTGAACCCCTCTTCCGTACTGCAGCAATGGGAAGGCGTGCCTCACTCTTTAAAGGCTCATCCCTGCAGCACCATGCAGTGGCTCAAGTGGCCTCTGTTATCCTCCTATGGGGCTCTGGGCTGTAACGTGCCGGGAGGCAGCCGTGGGCACCTGGGAAGGCACCCTTCTCATTGGTATGCTCAGAGGATGACCATAAAGAATCTTTGTTTTAAAAATGTGGAGTTTTAGAATATCTGAGGTCTAGTACAGCCAACTGATCAGGAGATGATTGCCATTGAAAACAGTTTATCACTCACCATTCTGAAGAGAAGGGGCACGCCATGCCATGGGGCCACGTGGGGAAGCACCAGGGCTCAGGAGGAGGAGGGAGGGGAGGTATGTAAGAGCCTTTATTGTGGTTTCCGTGGAAGGGATGGACAGACAGGTTTAGGACTGGCTAGTTTGAATAACCGCAGCAGGCTCTGGGATATAATGGCTGTCTGGACCTGTCTGGCACCTGGCCCGGGGGTGATCAGGACAGGTGGAGAGTGGCCCAGAGTGGGAGCTTAACGAAGGAGGTGGTTGGGGTGTGACCACTGGATTGGCTGGTTTTCTGGTTTACATCTGAAAAGCATGGGCAGGGGCAGGTTGTTACTCCCTCTAGGAGTTGACTGATCTGGGGAGGACAGTCCCTCCATGGCCAGCAGGGCCCCAAATGTCAAAGTACCAGAATATAGAAGACATGGTTAATGCAATCCTGGACCCTTAGAACAGCTCTGTTAGGTGATGCTCAGGCTGGGTGACGGCAACCTTCATTACCCCGAGTCTATTCCTGGCACCTGGCTTCCTGGACATTCACTGGAGATGAATCATTTGGGGTTTGGTGAGGGTGTAAGAAGACTCACACAGAATCAAAACTCTTGGCACACCACCCCTCTGTTATCCTCCTACGGGGCTCTGGGCTGTAATGCGCCGGGAGGGAGCCGAGGGCACCTGGAAAGGCACCCTTGTCATGGAAGCAGGTGTCCTGTCTCAGTAGATACACTGGTCATGTGTTGGGGACAGGGCCTTTCCAGGAGGAGGGGCCGTTCACACGAGGCAAAGGTCTGAAGGCTGGGTAGAATGGGTGCCAACTCATTGTGGGAAGGAGACAAACCTTGGAAAAATATGTATACCATTTATTCACCTTCTGCAAGGTCCTTTCTGCTATACTAAGCAAGATATTCACAATTTTGAGTGTTGTAAGCAACCCTGAGAGACAAAGAGGGCTTTTATACCAACTCCATTCTGAGGTGAACCTGCGCGTGGTGAGGTCTGTGCGTCCGCCAGGCCAGCGGGGACGGGAGGTCTGGTGCTGGTCCGCTACCCCCTCATCCAGGAGCTCTCCTCCGCATGCAGCCTCCCCGGGAGGGAGAAGGTGAGAGCCAGACCCTTACTCCAAACACTCTGGTTCTTAGTGCAAAACCCCCTCTGGCTCCAAAAGGAGGTAACTTTGCTGGGACTTGGGCAAGGGTAACAGGGGTATGAGGTTGAAGCACTCCTTGCCAAATGATTTCCGAATGGCAGAGCGGCAAAGATGCTGCAGACAGCGTGGGGTGTGGGCCAAGGCAAAGAAGGACTGGTAGAAAGGCTGGTGCTTCTGGAAAGAAGGCAGGTGGAGCGTCAATCCGTGCACAGAGAACCCACAAGCATTCTCTTCCTCACCTGACACCCCGCGGCATGCAGTCCATCCTGTCCACAGCTCACTGACACCCCGTAACTAACTACTTTAAAGGGAGAAGCAGCGTGCATCCTCCACCCAGAGGGTTTGCACTCTTTTCCAAAGTGCAGTTCTGTGGAGTTGAGGGATGTCTGTTTGGGGGATTTCAGATAATACAAGTAATCTCCCTGAATTATGCCCTGCTGTGCCCCCTTTGCACAGCACATTTGCTGTTCAGTATTGGGCACAGGACTGCGGTCAGTGACATGAGGGGAAATCTTCTAGAGGCTTCTGGGACACAAATGCCCTCACTCTTAATCGTAGCCACCATGGCCTTTGTTGGGGACAGATGTACGCCCAGAGCTGCCTCAGTCACATCTTAAGTCATCAGAAGATGAAGCTGCCACACAGGGGCCAGAGCTTGTGGATGCCCACCAGCGCCCACCTTCCCTGGGCATGGGTACTTAGGCCCTGACACTCCTTGAGCCAGCATGGGTCTGTTTTCTGCTCTTTGCACCCCAGCTATGATGAGAGGCTCTTGGCTGAGTGATCACTGAACCTCCAGAAGGAAAAGAGAAGCACTGAGATACACCCCCCCATTTCCGTCCGTCATTATACACTTACCTGGGTGTGAGTGCAGCACTCCACACACGGCTAAGCAGACACAGACGACAATTCTGCACTCAAGGGGAAGAAAGGGCAGCTCCCCTACCTGAAATACTTCTTCGGGGATCACTGCCTTCCAGGACTCTGCCACCTGGAGCTGAGGGTAGCAGTTTGAGAGGACCTCAATGACCGCGGGCGCCGGCGCGCAGGCCTTCAGCACCTGCAGGGAAGGGGTGGGAGACGATGTGTATGTCGCCTGGGTTTGGGTCCAAGTGGGGACAGGGCTGGAGCATGGATCTCACTTCTGCCCCCTCCTGGCTGGGTGACCTCACTGTGCCTCAGTCACACACGGAGTGACAGAAGTCACACTAGCAGGGCAATTGGGCCACAGGTGTTGCTTTTCAGACCAGCCAAAGCAGCTCCCTGCAAGGGGCCTGGCGCAGCATCACAAACAGGCTGGAAGTGCTTATCCTTCCAGGCCCAGAGGGGCGTGTGGGTGCTGGCAGGCTCCCTTGGCCCCCGGAGAGCTGGGCAGAGACAGGGAATGAGGTTCTCCTGGGAGGAAGTTTGGCCGGGATGAGGTTCCCAACTACTTATCTCAGTTTTCTAATGTGACAGGAAATTGAGGAGAAGAATTGCTTTGCTGCTGGATTTTCCTCCACTTGGCCCTTCTATTTTATTTTCACAGTCCCCACCGGCCAAGGGTTCCTGTTTTCTTAATTGCAAATTTTATGATTCAGATCTATCAGCTTTATCATAAAGGTAGGAACACTACTTGCTTTTTAACAGTAAACTTTTTTGTTATGGAGAAATTTGAATGTACACCCAAGTAGACTGACCAGTATGAGAAAACCTCGTGTCCTCACCAACACCCCAAGGCCAGTCCTGCCCGGTCTGCACCCCAACACCTTCCCCTAATGTTATTTTAAAGCAAATTCAATGGGTCCTATCATTTTATCTGTAAATATTTCAGTATACCCTTTAAAAGAAATATAAACACAGTATTATTACCACACCTGGGAAATGAACTATGGTCATTATATATCATCTAATATATGGTCAATGTCCAAATACACAAATTTCTCTTAAATGCCATTATTAGAAAAATAGTTGTTTGTATAAGAATCCAAATAAGGCCAAGGGTGAGACCGGTTGAGGTGATATATTGTTAAATCTCCCTTTTTTTTGTTTCTTGTGATTCATTGTTGAAGAAAGGGGATTATTTGCCCTGTAGAGTCTCTCAGAGCGGGGATTTCGCTAACAGTATCCCTGTAGGGTTTTGGAATGTGCCATTCTCCTCTGCTTTTTGTAAATTAGTAGTTGGATTTGGAAACTTGATCAAATTCAGGTTTGATTTTGGGGAGGGGCAGAGCAACTTCATAGTTCTCTGTTTTTGAGGTTGAAGAATTACTAAGCATTGTAAAATTGTTCTTATTTCTTGGTTGAGAAAACTGAGGGTAAGCAATTTTGCTAAAATCAGGCACCATGTATCTATAGCAGACCACAGTCGGAGCGGAGAGCTATGCTCTGCCTGCACCGCGCTCA